ACCCCAGGTTCACAAAGAGGCAGCTCTGCAAGGGCAACAGTCCCTGCTCTGCACACAGCCCCACCTGGGCAGGATCCCACAGAGCTGAGACCCACCACAGAGCTCTCCTGCGGCACTGGGTGCAGGAAGCGTGGCTTTGGCCACAGGCAAGTGCCGTGGGACACTGGGGTGAGTACGTGGGAGGTGGAGGGGGCCCAGAGCTTCAGCCGGCCCTAGGGAGCCCCCATGGGGCCCCAGGCTGAGGAATTAGACTAACTCTCAGCCCACCAGGAGGCTTGAGGCCCAGGGAGCCCAGGAAAGACAATGTGGTGGCCAAGCCCTCCCCCTGCTGGCCACATCTGGAGTGGCAGTGCCAGCAGCAGGGGGCAGCGTCCCCAGGCTGCTACACACACACTCCATGCACCTGGGGCCAAGTCAGGCTCAGGTGTCCAGAGGCACATAGGGGGCAGGGCAAGGCTCTGCCAGGAGGTCTCATCTCCCAGTCCCGCTGTGTTGCAGGGGCATCTCCTAACCCAACATGGAGATGGAAGGCAGGTGGCAGGTAGGCGAGGGTGGGGGGGCGAGATGCAGAGTAGTCATGGGGGGTGGGGAGGAGGAGGTGGCCGAGAGGGGTCCTCCATACTTCGGCCTGTTCCACTCTTCCCAGGCCCACCCATGCCTCCTGGGCAGCTGGAGAAGCTGGGGCTGCTCCCACTGCCCAGATTTCCACTCCCGCCCCCAGATATTGATTTCCTGCATCATTCATTTGCCGGGCCTTGGCGGCGGTGATTAGCTCCCTCCATTCTCCCTCTGGAGCAACCTCCACCCCCACCCACCCGCCTGTTCTTCCCTGTTCTAGCAAAGCAGAGCTAATACCAGGCTTTAAATGAGGCTTTGCCACCCGGCCCTGGCAACTCACAGCCAAGCCTGGCAAATTACAAGTGGGCCCTTGGCGTGGCCCCAGCACACCCACTCAAGGGTGCTTTCCTGGCTAATAACATTCTAACCACCCCCTCACCAGGGCCCCCACCCAGCCAGGAAACAGATTCCCAGCCTGCAGTGTAGGATGGGACATCATGCCGATCTTGACCCAAAGTGGGGCTCTCCAGCCTGCTGCTGGGCCTGGGGAGCCCTCGGCTGGCTCAGCAGCCAACATCAACTTCAGCGGGAAAATGTGGGGGGGGGGGGCGGGCAGGGATACAGTGCTGGCAAGGCAAACAAACCAGCCGGCTTTGGTGGAACAAGGCCCCGTCTCTCCCTCATGCTGTTTCTGTAACTGGGAAGGAAGAAGGAACAGAGGTTTGAACCTTCTTGAGGACATTTAGAAAACCCCAAGCCTTCTGTTAGCCCTAGGGCACCAGAATTTTCTGATGCCATGCCTTCTCCAGGGGGAGAGTTAGATACGGACAGTCAGTCTCAAGGCACGTGGTAGAAACTCCAGTGAAAAATCCCGAGTACCCACCCCCAGATCAACACCCAGAAGATGGCACTGGGAGACACACTTCCTGAAATTCCTTCTCTGCACCCCTCAGAGGAAGGGAAAAAAACCTGACTTGGTGATAATTCTGTAAGCTATGTTGCTCTTGTCAAATTATTCAACATCTGTCTTCATGTTCCCACAAAAATTAGCATAGGATAGTAGTTTCTGATGACACCTTTGGTGAAATATTTTGACTTCCACCAGTAAGTTGCAAACAACCTGTCTTAAGGATAATGTCAATTCCTACTCCTGCATATTAAATAATCCAGGGGTTTGCTGTGGTTTTGTAAGGGAGAGGAATCCCACAGACCTGCCCTGGCTGGAAGTCCAGCAGCTAGGGGAGGAAAGGAAGCCGGGATGGAGGAGGGGGTGCTTTCTGATGCTCTCCACACGCAGGAGACTCTTCCTCCATCACTCTGGGGCCAGCCCACCTCCCTTGCCAGCCAGAAAACAAATTACAGGATCCACCACGGAGCACAACAAACTGGGCCAGGAGATTGGGAAGCAGGGAGGGAGGAGGGGATCGGCTCCAAATGGACCATCTGGTCCAGTACTCGGCTGCTATAGCATCTGTGCCCCCAAAGAAGAAGGGAGGCCACCTGGCCAGACTGAGCACACCTCCCCAGCCCTACTGCAGACAAGCAGAGCTCAGGGCCGGCAAGAGGACCCTCAGAGGGAAGCAGCGTATAGGGTTCTGGGTACTTGCCTCCCACCAGCCTTAATAGAGACCCACAGCCCAGGCTAGATCCCGCCGGCTTTGCCCTCCTCGTCCTCCTGTTCTTCCTCCCTCTCCTCAATTTAGCTTCCAGGTTAATCTGCCACTCCTTCAGCCACACAGGCCTGGGATAGAGGGGGAAGGGGCTGGAGTTGCCTCCCCAGGACACACTGTTTTCTTTTGTGCCTGGGCTTTGAGCCTCTTCTCTGTTCTCCCTGAGGGCCCCTAGGCTGCCAGCCTAGGGCTCTGTGACTCTCCCTAAGCAGAGACCCTCAGAGTATGCCCCATTACCTTGCTGGAAAACATCCTAGACCTACTTATTGGAGGAAAAGAATTTCAAAAAACATTTCCTCAACCTCCCCCCAACCATGGCCCTTCATTCCTACAACAAATGTTTGCCCAGCTTCTGCTGTGTGCCCCGTACCACGTCGGATGCCAGGATACAATGATGGACACAAGTGACCATCCCTCACCCCTACACTCTACTCTTTCTCGAGCTGCTTCATCCGCTTTGGACGGAGAGGGAAACTGGGAGGGCAGAAGGACTACAGTCCTACAATTGTTCCCCCTTCTGCTGTCTCTGGCCAAAGCTTCTAGCATCACAAAGAACTCAGCAGCCTCTTGCCATCCTCCTTCTCCTACTAGATTGTCACTTCTCTCCATCAACCTCAACGAAGACGCTCCACTCTGCAATTCCTCTGAGGCCCCAGGCTTCTTTGGAGCCAACACCCCAAAGGCGCTGTCACCCCAGGGCCCGGGGCTGGCCCCAGGACACCCAGCTCACCTTGATTTGCTCCAAATGGAGAGCAACGAAAAGGGAGACCCAGGCACACGAGGGAGGAGAAACTACAGAAAATAGGGGGCAGATAAGCCAATGGCTAAATCCTGGCCCCAAGTGCTCTGAGATCAGAGCCCGCAGACATCACTGCCCCTATCTCCCCCACCCCGCCCCCCCACTGCCCTCATTGCTGGGGCTTCCAGGCTAGGCTCAGAGTGCCCTGTGTAGCCCTGGAGAAGGCTGGAAACGCTGCAGGGGATAGAGGAGAGAGATGGCCAGGAAACGGGTTGGCCAGATCTCCCAAGGACACTTGGAGGGACGGGCAGGGGAGAGGACAGACAGCAGGGAATAATGCGAGGTCTCTGTCACCCTCAGAGCCCCTGGGGTGTGGGGAGCAGGGGGCAAAGACCTCAGTGACATCCCTTAGGTCAGCTCTTGAGGCAGTGAGGCTACGAGGAAACCTTGGGGAGAAAGAAGAGGACCCCTGTCCCCTAACCCCCCCCCCCCGCCCCCCGGCCCCGTGTCTTCCTCTGCCCTGGGGAGGCCTTAGGGGCCGGCTCAGCGGCCTCCTCCCTACAAGCCCCGCCCCCTCAGTCTCTGCTGCGCTCCTCCTCCCCCTCCCTCTTCTGGCCTCTGTAAAGGGCCAGGCAGTAAGAGACACACAAACTAATTAAGAAGCAGAGTTTGGCCAGATGCCTGGGCCTGCCTCCCCAGGGAATTAAGCCAAAGCCAGCTAACTGTGTAGGGCGGGGAGCATGTCACCTCCCAGACACCCCCTCAGGACATCCCTGCCTCTTGGGAGGCACAGCAAGGCCAGCCACCCCCAGAAGGGAGCATTTAGCATCTGTACTTGAGGCTGGCAGCTGTACGCCCGGCGCCATGGTGGGGGGCAGCTGGGGGCCAATGCCTCTGCCTCCCCACCCACTAGAACGGGTCAAACTCTCCTCTGATCTAAAGATGAACAATCAGACCCTGGGCCCAGGGCAAGAGGAACAGGGACCTCTCCCCACCCCAGCTACACACGATTACAAAGTGACCCACACAGACCACCCTGCAGGCAGGAGAAGGCAGAGTAAGGACCACTGGACCCCCAGACGGACTTTTGCGCGCCCTCAGAGCAGGGTACTGAAGCCTGTGAGAACTCAGAGAGAGGGTCCCTGAGAGGGGGGAGCTCTGGACGATCGTGCACAGATGATACCTGCTCTCGGGACCTTTCCCCGGGGAACACCCTCTGGAGAGTGAGGAGAAGGGACACCCGGCCAGAGTCCCCTGAGCGCCGGAGAACACGGCGTAGGGACGCAGGAGCAGAGCTGCGTGGCAGGAGGCAGAGTTTGAACACGTAGCCCGATGGGTGCGTGCCGTGTTCGCGTTTCCTGGGGACGGTGGCTGAATGTGTCCGTGTGTGCGCTCAGGGAGAAGGAAGGTGGGGCTGGGGTTTTGTAGCTGAGAACCGGGGACAGGAGGAACTGGCTCAGGCTAGGTTCGAAAACGGATGCCGGGGTTTTAGGCACCCAATCCGGGGGATGCTGGCATCCGCTCTGGCCGTCAAGAAGCGAGTAAAAAGCGAAGCCTCAGCGAGAGCCGGGAAGGCGAGCCCGCCGCCCGGCCGCGGTGCCGGCAGCCAGCTCACCCGCCAGCCACGCGCAACTCCGGATCGTGCATCGCTCGGCTTCTACTTCGGCCGAGCCAGGGTAGGACCAGGTTTCCGTGCAAGTCGCTGCCCCAGGCCCAGGTTTGGATCTGTCGGGATCTCCCGAGCCGACTGGGTGTTCTCAAGGGTTCCGAGTCACTCCTGCCCCTGGCAAGGTTTGAGGAAGTGGGTCCCTCCCCCTGGCATCCCCGGCTTCACGCTAGACCCTACGACCCGTCTCCGTGCTTCGAAACAGCTAGCTCGATCTCCTCGCGCCCTGAAAAGGGCGGGGACCCGGGCATCCTCTCCAGAGTCCGAGCCGGGGTCCCCCACCAAACCCCGGCAGCGCGCACTTTGCGCCTCTTGCAAAGTTTCCGCGCGGTGCTAAGCCAGCGTGGAGCGGGACGCGGGCTCTTACCGTAGACTCCTTGTCCCCGGCAGTGGAAGGGGATCAGCGCCAGAAGTAGAAGGCAGGTCACCTCCATCTTCACGGCCGGTGCTTCATCCCCGCGAGGCGGCGCAGCCCGAGAGGTGGCGGGGGGCGCATCCGCCGGGGCCCCGCGATGCCCCCTGCGTCCCCCCTTCCCCCGAGAGGCGACGGAGGGGACGGCGGCGGCGGCGACCGAGACCAGGAGACTGAGGAGGCGGCGGCGGCGACCCGGGCTTCTCCTCTGGCGGGGCCGCTGCCCGCGTGGGGACGCAGGGGGCGCTGGCCCGGCCCCGGGTGCCTTGGCGCGCCAGGCGCAGCAGCCAGCGCCCCGGCCCGAGGAGCCCCGCCGCCGCTGCGCCCGGGGCCCCCAGGGCTGTCTGCTCCGTGTGCTGGGCGCCAGGGACCCCTCTGCGGCGGCGGGGGCGCTTTGATCCAACAGGCCACCGACGACTGACAAACTTGTCGTTTCCCCGCCCAGGGGACGCCCCTCCGCGGAGCGGGGACGGGAAGGCCCGGGCTTCGCTCGGGGTTAATCCGCTGTCACCAGTCCTGCGGCGGGTGCTGGGGTCTCAGTAGCCCGATCCAAGGGGGCCGGGTTGGGCGCCCTCCCGGAGGCGAAGGAGCCCCGGCCCCCGGCCCTCCTGAGCGGGGGAGCAGCGCTGGCTGGGTTCGGCCGAGGGGCGAGAGCCACGGGTCCCCAGGTCCGCGAAGTTAACCGAGCCACCGAGGAACCCCGGGGAGGAATCGCACCCCGGCGCCCCCGCGGGAATCAGGAGAGCAATTCCAGCCAAGAGAGACCCCAGAAAGCGGGGAAAGGAGGAAAGTTTGAGTCGTTTGAAAAATATTCGCGCTCTCGGCGAGGCCGGGGCTGCGGCGCGGGCGCCGCTCGCCGCCTCCGCTCGCCGCGCTTCGCTCCCGTCGTCTGGCCGCGGCCGTGGCGCTCCCAGGCTCGATGCTCTCCGGAGAGCGGGGCTGCGCCGCGCCCCAAGTTGGTCGTCCCCGCCCCCGCCCGGCGGCCTCGGCCGGCGGGGGCCCCGAGCGGGCGGGGCCGGGCCGGGCTCCCGGGCGCGGCGGCCGCTGGGCTCGGGGCCGCGGGAGCGCTCCGTTCGCTCGGCAACTTGGGCTTCGCTGTGCTGCTTTTTCCCCCCTCGGAGCTTTTCATTCCGCGCTCCCCCCACCTCCCTCCCTCCCTTCCTCCTCCCTCCTCCTCGCGTCTCCTCGTTCGGTCTCTCGCTCTCCCACCCTTTGTCGCTCGCTCTCCCGTTTGATTCCCCTCCAGTTAAAAAAAGGAGCCAATTAAAGGCAGCCCAGCTCGCCCGGCCCAGCCTCTGTCCAATTTCCTCGCCTCCCCCAGGACCAATTAGAGAAAACAAAACAGGGTTGGGGAAGCAGACTGCCTGCTTTCTTCTCTCTCTCTCTCTCTCTCTGCCCCTCCCCCTTCTCTCCCTCTCTCCGTCCCCCCACCCCCCCCCCCGGCAGGAAAATGTCAGAAAGCAGAAATGGATCCATCTATCCCGAGGACAGTGGCGGAGGGACGTGGGTTTCGGCGCGGGCTCTGCAGCCGCGCGCTCGCACGCTCGCTCTTCGCCCGCCCTTGCACACACAGACTGGCTGCCGAGCCGGGTGCACGGATTCCAGTATGCTCGCGGGGCAGGCACGGCCGTTCGCCCCGGGGACCGAAGCCTGCGGGGCAGTGCACACTTAGTAAATGTTTTGCACTTTTGATGGTCGGAACTAAAGCGGGGTTCGGAGGTAAAGGCCACGGGCCGGCGTCTTTTGGGGTCCTGCAGGCGCGCGAGCCGGCCGCCAGCTGTCGGTCTGCAGGGCTGTCTGCGCGGCCCTGGAGTCCCTCCGCCCCCGGCCGAGCCCCCGCCCCTTTCCAGGAAGCCGCGGCCTCTCCCTGCTTAGGGCGTGGGGGCCACCCGCACGGCAGCTGGTGGAGCCGGGGCAGGAGAGCGCGCGCTTGGAGCTCCTGCCCTTGCCTCGGCCCACAGGTTGCCAACAGGTTTGTCCGCAGGACCCCGCTGCCGGAGCTCCCCTAGGCCACCCACATTCTCCCCGGCTTGCCCCTGTCTCTCCCCCCATCCTGCCTCTCCTTAGGACCTCAGGCGCCCCCAAGCGCCCCAGGGGCGCACTCTCTTCCGGTAGCCAAGCCCCGCGGCCCGTTCCAGCTGCGGGGGTCAGGCACTCCGGAACTCCGCTACCTCACCCCGGCTCCCGGAGCAGGGGTAGGGAGAGCGCTCCTCCCAAACGCCAGCGGGGAGGGGGCGTAGGCTGGGAAGCCAGGCGGGCGGCCTCCCCTGCGCCTCCGATCGCGTCCCCCCACCCGGGTCCTGCTAATCTCACCTGCTCCACCTGTCGCCGTTATTTATCTCGGCGGTGCGCAAGGACTGTATTAGGGCGGCCGGTAGGATCGCGGACGACCACAGCAGCTAACAAGCGAGGAGCTTATTAACCCTCCTTCTCCCACTCCCCGGAACTGTTCAGTATCTTGGCAATGATGGTGGTTCCGCGACTCTGCGTTTGCCAAAACTCAAAGAACTTACACCAAAAAAGGTTTCATTTTTCAATATGTAAAATTAAAACATAAATTTAAAAAATAATAAACCCCACCCCATCCCAGGCCCATTTCCTGCTAGGTCCCTTCCCCCCCTGACCCTCAAAGGACTGACTTCTCACAGGAGAACGTGCCGGGCAGCAGTGGGAGGTGTTGGGAGAAATGCCAGGCCGCGGTGGGGGGTTGTGCCATCCGTTGACACCTCGGTTCCCTTTCTGTCCATCCTGGGAAGTCCCAAAACATCTGAAGAATCTTATTCTCCCTACCTCCAATTGATTACTCCTTCTTCATTCCCCTCCCCCCTTTTCTCTCTCCTTCCTTTCCTGTGGATCCAAGGCTGAATAAGGCGATCTGATTCAGTGCTGGGCACCCAACAGATAACTAGCTGGAGATTTGTTAAATGAATGGATGAATGATGCCCATCGTAGGCCAGATACCACAGACCTAGGATACCCTCAATGCAGACAGCCTTTCTACTTCCCACCCCACAACCATTACCCTGAAGAGAAAAATCCATTTTCTGCTCCACCGGGCTACAGAGTTATCAGGCCTCTTCCCACCTACCTCCCCCACCCGTTCTAAAAAGGAGGTGGCACCAATTGAGGGTGTGGTGATGACTATTTTCTTGTATTGTCATCTTCTTCCTACTGTTCAAAAATTCCTAGAAACCCTCACCGCCTCCAGGAAGCTCTCAGGGAGTGATCACAACGATTCCTGCTCTTCTTGGCTTTGCGCATTCTGAACTGAATGACCATGTGTCCAAGCCAGATGAGACTACCTTCCTATTTTTCAGTCAGCCAGTCCAGCCCCCCCCCCCCAAACAGCAGTTAATTGCTCCTCTTTGGCTTTGGGTGTTTTATTGAGGGACAGGGAACCCCACTGACTCAGCTGACATACTCTTGAGCACATACACTGGCCTGAAGGAGAGAGAAGACTCATGGTCAGGGAGAGACCAGGAGGAGGGGGGAGCTGGGCTGGGATTGAACATTTGCTGTAGCGAATTCACTTGTGAATACTCTGCAGCTAATTGTATGCAGTGTAAGAACCTTGACAGCCTGTTTGTGTTGCGTGTAAATTCAGCCATCTCCTCTCCCAAGTATGCCTGGCCTGCTGCCTCTGACACAGCCCTGTGTCTGACAAGGGGAGGCAACCAGGGAGAAGGAAAAAAGCACTAGACTTAGGAGCCATCAGTTCTACGATCCAGTAGTAACCTCTCTAGGCCTCAGTTTCCCCAACTGTAATGTGAGTAGGATCCCTATCTACAGAGTGGTTGTGAGATGTAAGTAATAACAGCTGATACCCCAGGCTATGTACTGTTCTAAGCCCTTCATGTGGATAACTATTTAATCCTCATAACAACTATAGGAGATAGGACTGTTATTCTCGTAGAATAACATAGAACGATTTAGTGATTCACATACCTGCTAAGTGGCTTTGACCTAGGTAGCTTGGCTCCTTGACCTTGTTCTTTCCCACTGTTCTATACTGAAGAAATGTAAGGACCTAGGTGTCTAGTAAATGTTTTCACAAGAAGTGTTTCCTAGACTTTTCACACACACAGAACAATTCACAGGGCCCCAAAATGGGCTGTTGTGGTGGGGGGCAGCACATGAGCTCTAGACCCCTGGACCTGAGGCCGATTGAGGCTGGGCTGCCTGGAGGTTCGGTGGTCAGCATCTGACTGCCAACTCCTGGCTTCCACCCAGGATACTAAGATTCTTTTGCCCCAGAGAAAACCCAGCCCTTGGGCTCCAGGAGGTTTCAGGAACTAGCGCTGATTGAGGGGGCCACGCCAGGGAACCAGGAACCCCTGATCTTGGCCAGGCAGGGCAGCTCAGGGCTTTTGTTGTGAGAGCTCCTTATAAGAAAGCTCCCCCATCTCCTGCCCAAGGGAACTCAGAGCCTGGGAGAAGAGAAGAGAGGGAGAGAGAGCGAGAAGAATTCTGTGGGATGGTGTCGTGGCTTGCTAGGGAAATTGTCTCTGAAAATCGTACAGTGGCAGGAATCGATTCAATCTCAAGGCAAGACACTTTCTGGTCGGAGGCGGGTGAAGGCTGGCTGGGGTGGGAGGGGGTGAAGGCCGAGGAGAGTTATGACCCCGCTGAAAGACCAGTTTATTAATTCAGGCTCTAACAAATGGCCAATTAATGGTTCCAGCAGCTAATTAGTAAGCAGTTAACTCCTGTTATAAAACGTGTGCTCCAGACTGGTGACAGTGCAATCCTGCAGTGACAGCCTTGGAGAGGAGGGGGCCCCAGAGACTTGTGACACCCAGGTTCTGTAGCTCCCTCCACTCCCTCTTCCTTCCAAATTGCCCGCAGACCCTCTGCTCTGGAATGCAGGCTTCCTGAGAGCAGAGACCCCATCTGTTCACCATTCATTCACATAGCAAGCATCTCCTACCATGTGCCAGGCTCTACTCGAGGCACTGCAGATTCAATGTGAACAAAACTGACAAGAACCTCTGCCCTCAGGGAGCTTGTATTCTAGTGAAGAGA